GTCTGCCATTCTTCTGGAAAACTGAGAATGAGTGGGCATGGAGTCCCCCAGGGGGCAGAGGGGACAGGATGGCTGGCAAGGAGAGGGCGCTTGAGGCACTTAAGGACTCCTGGAGGCCCTGAGGGAAAACCTGACGCCCAGGTAGAGGCGGGAGGGCCTAGGCGGGAGCTGCCCACCATCTTCAGGCACTGTCACCTGGACTCCAGCTCCACCCCTCACGTTGTCACTTGCCTGGTGGGGCATGAGGGCAGTGCTGGGGGCAGCAGTGTTCAAGGCCTCGCCCCTTAGGGATCTGCATCGGGACTGGAGGGAGGGGTCAGCAGCCCTTTCCAGCGTCCCAGTGGCCTCCCCTGACGTCCCTCTGGGGCCTGCATGGGACGCAGAGCTCGGGCCTGGGGGAGACACACACACTCACCCTCCGCCGGCGCTCCGCCCCCCCTTCCCAGAACCCGCCCTCCGCTCTGTTGGCTGCCTGACCCCATCCAAACCCTCCCCAGGCTCCGCCTTAGGGGCCCAGAGCTTGGTGGAATGTCCTGATATCAGCACCGGAGGGTCCCCAGCGCATCTGGCCCACCTCCCTCCCTGGGCCCCAGAGACGGGTAGCAATACCTTCAAGGTCACACAGCCAGTGACTGGCAGAACTAGGATTGGAGCCAGGGGCTCCTGTGAGCTAGTCGCCGCCCCCCTCGCACTCACAGGCCTGCGGGGCACACAGGAGATCTGGGGGCGCTCCCAGCGGCCGTTCTCCTGACAGCGGATCAGTGGCAGGTTGCGCTGGGCCAGTCCCTCCCGGCACTGGTAACGAAGCACTGTGTCCACCTCATAGCGCAGCCGTGGGCGGCCGAACACTTGAGCCAGGGGCAGTTCCGGTGGGGACCCGCAGGATACTGCAGGGGGGACAGAGTCAGAAAACAGGAGCCTGGCTCTATGGGTGACAGTTTCAGAATCGGGATGAGGAAAGGAATGGACCACAACCTGACCCCCAAAAGAGTAGGGGTTCTGAGTGGACCCGTCTGATTTGTTATCCCTCCCATGCCCGTGGCCTGGGACACATTTCTGACCCTCCTACGCGCACGCTGGCCCCGACCCCGAGCCCGCGCCTCTCCTCCCCCTTGCCTGCCCTCACCCAGCCCCATTTTGCAGGTGTAGGACAGGTGGTAGTTGCAGGGCACATCGCTCCATTGTCCCTGGTCATGCCACACCATGACCACGCAGTTCTCTCCGGACAGGAAGTAGCTGTCGGGTTGCCCTGGGTTCCAGTTCTCGTAGAGCTGGGGCAGGGGTGGGGAGGCGGTGAGGCGCCCCTGCGCAGGCGCACTGAGGAATGGACTGGAGGGGTGGGTGTGGGCGCAGGAGAGGGCAGGCCCGGGGCAGGGGGAGTCGGGGGCCTCCTTCTAAAGGAGAGGTCAGGGGCTTTGCGGGGAGGGATAATGGGAACCGGAAGAGAGCCAGAGGGACACGAGGAGAGGGGGAGGGCCCAGGGAGAGGGAAAGGGCATGGGAAAGGGAAGGAGAGGGAGGGTCGGGTCACTGGGGGTGGAGGCAGAAGCGCCTGGACGAAGCGACCTCGACAGCGGGACGGGCAGCGGGGGCCTCTCACCAGGGGGACGCCATCTGACCACAGGAAATCGCCTTCGATGGTCCTGTCGTTGAGCCCAATCCACTGGTACTCCCGGTATCGATCTGGGGAAGCACGCAGGGGGCACGGCGTGCAGTGAGCTCCGCGGCCAGTAGGTGGCGGCCGCTCCCCGAGGTCCTTCCCGCCGCCCAGACTCCGCGCTCCCCTCGCTCCAGACGCAGGGCGGGGATGGAAGGCCCGGACGGGGATGGCGAGGGAAGAAATAAAACACCACCCGGGCGAGACCGGGGAATCTCTGGGAAAAAAGTGAAAACGTCCAACGGGGGCAGAGTCTGGGAGCAGGTGGAGGGAGGAGAGCCAGAGCACGGGCAGGTGGAAGGTGGCCCCTGAGCCACCGCCGGGCAGGCGCAGGGGTCCGTCCTGCGAGGGCCGCAGCCTTCCCTGCCCGAAGCCCCACCGCCTGCCTGAGCAGAGGGCAGGAGGGAGGGAGAAAGGAAGAGTGGACGAGTGACTGAGGTAGACCAAATAGTAAGTGCCCGAATTAGTGAACAAGGGGGTTAATTAACACACTCACTCATTCGTTAGGTGATTGATTAATGAGTGAGCGTGGGAGAGAGCAGACGACCAGGGTCCCCTCCCACCCGTCCCCAGCCCACTGTTGATGAAGTCCTGCTCCTCGGGCGTGCTGATGCTGGCCAGGTGCGCGCCGTACATCCGGCACTGGGTCTCCGCCTCCTCCCAGCTCCTTCGTGTGGAAAAGTGCTTGTAGCAGGCGCCCTGGAAGGCGTCCCAGCCAGGGCTGCAGAAGCGGAGGCCTGGGGCGCAGAAGGGCGGGCAACTTGGGCGGGAGGACCGGGGAGGGGCCAGGTACCCGCGAAGGGGCCAGGTACCCGCAAAGGGGCTTGGCTCCGCCCACCACGGCAGCCCGAGGGGCGGGGCTAAGGCAGGGGGCGGTGCCAACGAGCTAGTGGGAAGGAAGGGGAGGAGGAGCCTGGAGGGGCCCTGGAGCCCGCGGCCTGATGCCTTCCCTCTCTGAGCGTCGGGACCAGGCGAGGGAGGGAGTCCCCGCCTGGGTCACTGCAGTCCTCCACCTAGAGAAGAGCTGTGCGCTCCTCTCCTCCCAGAAGGGCGGAGGCTGGCACCACTGACTTCAAATGCCAGGAGCGCACTAGGCGCTCCTCTCACACCCGACCCCCGACACAGGCATTTCTGGTTCCACTGAACAGTTGAGGACATTGAGGGCGAGTCGCGGAGAGGTGTGACTTGCCTAAATTGGGGATTCATCAACAGCAAGGCCAAGACCAGCGCCCGCCCTCCCTCCCTCCTCCGGGACCAGCACGTTGTGGCGGGTCCGGACTTCATGTCCACCCCCCCCCGCCCCCGCCCCTCAACACACTCACCAACATCGCACAGGTCCCCCCCATAGCCAGGCAAACATAGGCAGCGGACCCCCTCCTCCTCCTCCAAGCATGTCCCGCCATTGTGGCAGGGGCTGGGGACACAGTCACCTGAGAGGGGGAGAGAAGTTTGGTGGGGGGGAGCTGGGGAGCACAACTCTGAGTCCTTCCGGAGAGGGTTCAGAGTCCCCAACCCTAACCCCCCTGTCCTGGGAGCTAGCACGGCACCCCAGAGGTTCTCCCTGGAGCCTGCCTCTGGCCTGAGTTCTGGCCCCCCTCACCTCGTCCCATGTCAGCACTGGCTCAGCCCTGTGCCAGCCATTGTCCTGCCCTCCAGTGTGGGCCCTGCCTAATGGGCCAGGGAAAGTGGCCAGGGGACAGTGCCCCTCAGGGCCCAGTCCCGCCAAGGGGAGAGGCGCTAGGCTGTCAGCCATGAGACCTGGGCTCTTGTATGGCTTCTAGCTCTACTGGGTGACACTGGGCAGATCACTTTACTTGGGGGTTTCACCCCCTTCCTTTGCACTGGGTCCCAGCACGGTTCTGTACAGCGGGCCGGGCCGCATGGAAGAGGAGAGGACAGTCCCCTCAGCACCCGTGAGCATCGCCTGCTTCACTGCTCCCAGGACCTTGTTTGGGGCGGGGGTTTCACCCCCTTTCTTTGCACTGGGTCTCAGCACGGTTCTGTACAGCGGGCCGGGCCACATGGAAGCGGAAGAGAGGACAGTCCCCTCACACCCGTGAGCGTCGCCTGCTTCACTGCTCCCAGGACCTTGTTTGGGGTCCAGATGGAGCTAACCATTCCCCCTGCTGTCCATGGGGAAAGCCCCAGGAGCTGAGTGCAGATGCGACCTGCTTCCCGCACTGTCCCCAGGCACAGGAATGACGCTGCAGTGGCTTCCCCACCCTTTGGGGACGGCCCCACACACTCTCCCCTTCTGCCCCTGCAAACCCTCCCTCCTAACGAGCTCCCCTCCCCGCTCCACCAGGGCCTTCTGCGGTTCCTTAGCCTAGAAAGCTCTCTCTGATCCATCTCACTCTCTCCTCAGGCTCCCTCTCCTCCAGACAGTCCTTCCAGACTCGCAGGTTGCCCTGAGGACCTGCGCTCTGCCATCTGGCTCCAGCTCAGTCCGGCCATCGGCCTTCTCTGGACTCTCCTTCAAGATCCTGGGGTGGGTTAGGCCAGGCCTGGGTGCTGGAGGGGCTGTCAGATTGCACTTCTTTCTGGTCCCCATGACCCAGGAGAAGAGAACCCCACAGACTGACAGCAGTGAAACCAGCCCCAGGCTGGGCCTTTCAGACCATGCCATCCACCCCGAGCAGCCAAGGCCAAGGCCCACAATGCTTCGCTCTGGCCCGAGATCCCCCTGCCTGCTGGGGATCGCAGCGGAGGTGATTCAAAGAATTTTGCTGGGAGGATCGAGTTGTTTTGGGGTGAGATGAATCAGCTGTGCCGGCACCACGCCCCAGTCATCTCTTCTGCCAATCCTTTTCTTTCAACTGGGTAGTGTACCCTCCAGGGCAAAGCGGGGGTGATATTAACCCTCTAAGCACCAGGCCCCTCCCGTCCTCACACTTTCTTCTCTCCATCCTCCAACCTGGGGAGAGGGCACAGAAGCTCTCAAACTTGGTCCCTGGTGCCCCGCCCAGGCCACAGATCCAACTCCCTGGCAAGATGGGCAGAGTGGGGTGAAGGAATCCCTCTTTGGGCAACTACGATATGCGGCCAGAGTTTTAACCTTTACCTGCTGCAGTAGCAGGCCAGGGGACCTGTCCTCGTCCTCAGGGTGGGGCAGCTAAGACACTGTGGACACTGCCCACGGTGCTCCGCTGCCCACTGAACGCCCTGCCCACCCCACCAGTGCTGAACTCCAAGACCAGCGGGGAGGGAGCCAGCAGCCGCAGCGGGTGAGCCTGGGCGTGATGCAGAGGCCCCAGCCCCCTCTGTGCCGTCTAGCAGAGTGGGTCCTGGGCTTGAGGCACCCTCGGCCTTCTCCAGAGTCTCCACTGGGAGGCTCAATCCTCCCTGAGGGGCCGGAGCTTCTCCCCGGCTCCAGAACCTGTTTCCCCGTCCCGCTCCCTCCACACTCCCTCTCCCCCTTTGGCTCCTGGTCTGCGTCTTCCCAGAATTAGGGATTTTGAGACCCTTTGGGTTTAGGGCGGTGGAACCCTTTTTCCCAGGGGGCGGGGGTAGTCATTAGCGCAGGGGTTAGTGGAGGAGGGGGAGGCGGGGCAGTGGGATGGAAGTTAGATACGGTCCCCCTGCTGGGATGTGGGGCAGAGGTGGGCCCTGGGGCACCTGGATGCGGAGGAACCGCCTCTGTGCTAAGAGGGACTTTCTTGGTCACTACTCTGTATGCGTGGCTCTGTATGGGATGATGAGTGAGATGGACCAGAGATGAATGCACACGCACACACGCACACACACGTGCACACACGCACACGCACACCCTGCAGGGATTTCTCCCATGAGGCGGGAGGGACCACGCCTCCCAGCACTTGGCTGACTGATGGACAAAGATCTCTCTTGGGCGTGTGCACAGTCGGATCTGGGATCTCAGCAGGCAGGAAGTGGAGAGACGCCCGAGAAGGACGGGGTGAAGGAAAAGGGAGGGTTGTTAGACTGGCCAGGACAGGGACGGGTGCAGGCCGCGGGTGAAAGAGGAAGCGAGGCCAAGAGATGCAGAGAGAGAGAGAGAGAGAGAGAGAGAGAGAGAGGGGAGAGATTGAGAGAGAGATTGAGAGAGAGAGGGGTGGGGGAGAGGGAGAGGGAGAGAGAGAGGCGCCTGAGAGGCACCAGAGAGCTGCCCGTGAAACGAATCCGAGGACTGCAAAGGGCAGGCAGCTGGGGGCGGAGACAGAGGGGGCCAGAGTTTTGGCTATAAAGCAGTTTAATGTTTATTTCCAAGACTTGTTTTCCATGAAACAATCAAAAAAATACTTCACAGAAGTAGTCGCTTAAGGCTCTGTGGGGATAAGGACTCCCCCGGACCCCAGAGGTTGAGGGTTAGGGACGGGGTCCCAGGCTCCCCTGCTGTCAGGGGGAGGCAGCTGAAGGGGACGGCACACAGGACAGGGAGGAAGCAGTGGGAGACTGGCCCGGGCCCTGGAGGGCGACAGGCAGCGAGGGCTCCCTGACGCGTGTGGCGTGAGGGCGCTCTGTGTGGTCAGTGAGATGTGAGTCAGGTGGAGGGCCCGAGGTGGTCAGTGCTGGGGCTTCCAGAGACAGGGAGAGGGTCACAGCGTTGGGGGCATGGAGCCGATGGCCACAGGACGAGCCATCAGAGAGCTGGATGGAAGTCGCTTGGTGGGGTGTCCATACTGGAAACCCACAGCGGGCGGTGGGCAGGATGGAGGAGGGGGACAGGAGAGTCTGGGGCGATGGTGGGTTAAAGGCTACAGGTCAGGTGACCCAGAGCTGCAGGGGGAGGAAAAGGAGCAGGAGAAATAGGGAGAACGAGCCTTGGGCAAAATTACCTGATGAGGGGGCCACGGCCACCCCACCGTGGCTGGCACCGTCAGTGGGCGGCACCGGCTGGGCCCGCGTTGAGGTCCCCGCTGGGACAGTTCTTCCAGAATTCTCTTCGGAGGGGGCCTCCAGCTCCCCGGTACCCTCGGGGGCCCGTGTAACGGGAAGCAGGGTGGGAGTATCCTCCGAGCTCCCCGTCTCCTCAGTCTCGCCTCGAGGGACCCCAGACACCTCGGGACCCCCAGTCTCCTCCCCCACTTCTCTCTCCCCAGCTGGAGTGGAAGGCTGTAGGGGTGCCAGGTTCCTCTCCCCAGGAGTGGGCAGAGTCTCAGTGGGTGGTCCTAGGACCCTTGGGGGCCTGGGAGCCTCTGTCTCTCCATTGGGAGGTGGCGAAGCACCAGGCTGCAGGACAGCCCTCGCCCGCGGGGAGGTCTGGGAGGGTGACTCCTCCAGGGCTGGCTCCGTGGGAAGAGGGGCCCCTGGGTCCTGGCTGCTGAGCTCGCCGGGCCAGGCCCACAGGGCCTCGTCCTCCGCTTCCTCGTCGAGCGGCTCCGCGTCCTCCAGCGCCTCGCCTCCCTCTTCTGAGGACCCGGCGGGAGGTACAACGGAGCGGGTTTCAAATTCTAGGCAAAGCACAGGTGGTTCAGCACCAGGGACAGTGCCCGCCAGAGGCCAGGAAGAGGGAAGGGGAAGGCGAGGCCGCGGGGAGAGGGAAGAGCCTGCACGGGGGGCGGCTGTCTCCGCTCCACACCGGGACAATTTCAGCCTGAGATGCACGGTTGAGGCAACACTTGAGAAGGTTCTGTGAGCTGTCGAGAGCCTGGGAAAACATGGTCCTTCCATGTCCCTCTCCCAGTCGATTAAAAGTCTCTAGTCTATTTGGGGTAGGGGAGGGGGAGGAGAGACCGAAGACAGGAGGCCCCGCCTTCCCAGAGGGCAGCTCCTTAGCCCGAGCATCTCCAGACCCGGAGAGCTGGGAGTGGATTCTGCTGGAAAAGCGAAGGTTGGCAGAGCGGCAGGGTGGTGCCTTGCACCACTGAGCTGCTAAGGACGGACGGGGCAGGGTCGCGCCGCCATAAACCCAGCACTGAGCTGGCCTTCTGCCCCCAACCTCTCAGGTGCAGACCCCCCGGGGTGAGGGGTTCGAGTTACCTAGGAGGGTCCTTGAGGTCTCTGCCAGGTCTTCTGGGGTGGAGCTGCCTCCTCCTGCATCCTCCGGGATGGGAATGGAGTAGATGGCTCCTCGGGACTCGCTCTCCACAGCTTCCTGAGGCAGCCGCAGTTCCCCCAGGGTCTCTGTCACTGTGACAATGGCCTCCAGACCATCAGAGGCTAGGGCAGAGTCTGGGTTGGAGTCCTCAGGGATGGCGGAGGGCTGGGCAGAGTCTGTGGCAGGAGGACACACGGGTACTAGATAGATGGCTCTGCCCTCCCATGGCCGGCATGCAAGGGCTCTGGGTTAGGCTCGGAGAGCACAGGTTCTCTCCGTTTTGTCCCCCGCGCCCCTGGGGAGAACTCCCGGTGTCCTGCAAGCAGCCTAGGACTCCGTCACTCATTCCTCAAGCATTAATCAAGCTCTCACTACATGTCACGCCGAGCATTCTCCAGGCCACCGAGGGTGCGGCAGAGAGCAAAACAGCAAGCTCCCTCCTCTACTGGGAATTTACATTCTGAATACAGGTAATACACAAATAAACATCTATTATAATGTTACCGTATAAAGAACAATTAAGCAGAGCGAGGAGGTGGGGTGGGGAGTCCTGCTTTAGACAGAATGGTATGGAAAGGCTCAGGGGGGAGATCTTCCCTCGAGGAAGGGGACGGAGGCGGAGAGACGGACAGAATGGCCTCAGCACCTTGCGCTTGGGGCGAGGTGCAAGGGATCCCAGGCGGCCCGAGACTTGTGAAATGGAAAGGGACAGGCTGCCATCAGCACAGGAGAGCTGGAGGGCACAGGGCAGGAAGGACACTCAACAGTCCCCACCCGAGGGTCTCAGCGCTGAGGCAAGAGGGTAAAGGGAGGGGCCACCCATCTTTCTGGGCTCTGCTCCCTTCGAATAAGCAGAATTCTGGAATGGGCTACCTTGTCTCTAGGGAAGTAAAACGAGCAGAAAACCAGCGAAGCAGACGTGGAACTGGGCTAAGAACGACACCTGTGCTCGGCTAGATGAGCCAGCACAGCGCGCCCTGCTCGCGCCACCTGCCCCGGTGAGCCTCGCTCATGCCGGACAAGCAGACGTGCGCCCTGGCCTGCCCCTGCCCTCCACCTGTCTGCTGCCACAGTCAGCCGCTGCCTGCCCTCACCTCCCAGTTCAGTTCCTCCTTCCATTTTCCCCCGGACCAGTCTTGGCACTGAATTATAATCGGCGCATAGAAGTGTGAGCTATGACGACGATGATGATGGTGGTGGCGATGATGTGATGGTGATGGTGATGGTGATGATGGTGATGATGACGATGATGATGATGATGGTGGTGGTGGCGATGATGATGATGATGATGATGATGGTGGTGGTGGCGATGATGATGATGATGATGATGATGGTGGTGGTGGCGATGATGATGATGATGATGATGATGGTGGTGGTGGCGATGATGATGATGATGATGATGATGGTGGTGGTGGCGATGATGATGATGATGATGATGATGGTGGTGGTGGCGATGATGATGATGATGATGATGATGGTGGTGGTGGCGATGATGATGATGATGATGATGATGGTGGTGGTGGCGATGATGATGATGATGATGATGATGGTGGTGGTGGCGATGATGATGATGATGATGATGATGGTGGTGGTGGCGATGATGATGATGATGATGATGATGGTGGTGGTGGCGATGATGATGATGATGATGATGATGGTGGTGGTGGCGATGATGATGATGATGATGATGATGGTGGTGGTGGCGATGATGATGATGATGATGATGATGGTGGTGGTGGCGATGATGATGATGATGATGATGATGGTGGTGGTGGCGATGATGATGATGATGATGATGATGGTGGTGGTGGCGATGATGATGATGATGATGATGATGGTGGTGGTGGCGATGATGATGATGATGATGATGATGGTGGTGGTGGCGATGATGATGATGATGATGATGATGGTGGTGGTGGCGATGATGATGATGATGATGATGATGGTGGTGGTGGCGATGATGATGATGATGATGATGATGGTGGTGGTGGCGATGATGATGATGATGATGATGATGGTGGTGGTGGCGATGATGATGATGATGATGATGATGGTGGTGGTGGCGATGATGATGATGATGATGATGATGGTGGTGGTGGCGATGATGATGATGATGATGATGATGGTGGTGGTGGCGATGATGATGATGATGATGATGATGGTGGTGGTGGCGATGATGATGATGATGATGATGATGGTGGTGGTGGCGATGATGATGATGATGATGATGATGGTGGTGGTGGCGATGATGGTGATGATGGTGATGATGATGATGATGTGATGGTGGTGGCGATGACGGTGATGATGATGAGCACTATCATCCTGTTTCAGGAAGCCTTTTCAGAGGGACATGTCTTCCTATAGACTTCACTTCCCCAACCCTCACCATCCCCCACCCCAAGCCAAAGATGTCTGGAGATCGGTCCCAGTGGAACTAATGCTTTTCTCTGTCTCCGCTTATGCTGGGAGCAAGGTGTCTTGTCTCTCAAATTGGGGGCTTCCATGGCAGGAGCCGTGCCTTCCTCCTTCAGACTAGGGGCTCCCTGAAAGTGAAGGCTATGTGTTCTGCTCCCGTGTCTGTCTCCAGCCCTTGTACTAGGACTCCGCAGGCTCACAATTGGGGCAAGGACTCAGACACCCCAGAGTATTGCCTTCCTGACTGTCGGTCACCCTTAGACTGGGTGCTGTGCCTCTGGGGGTCCCAGACATTGCCCCCCCAGGTCCCAATGTAAGATGTGGACAGGGAGCCATCTCTATACCCAACTGTCCTTGAGGACCTGCTCCCTGCGGGGGGACCTGTGTCTTTCCATCAGTATTTGGTAGTTAAAGATCTGACACCTTCAAGCTGAATGTTCTGGAAATCCCTGTGAGGGCTCTTGAAGGCATTTGGTTAACTGGAGCAGATCATCTGTTGGATTCAGAGAATGTCGGTCATCTCTGCTCTGCTAACGAGCTGACCAGAAATGAAAACATACTTGGCAGACCAATATGGGAGAGACAGCTTTGGAACTGGAAGAGACAAGGAAGGCAGGGCTACTGACGGCGAGGCAGACGAGGAGATGCAGAGAGGGGAGCCCTCCTCGAGGCCACATGGCCAAGCCAGAGGACCTGACCAGGACTCTAGGTGACAAGCTGAGCGTCCCCCAAGCCTCCTTCAGGTGAATGGCAAAGGTCTGAGAGCACGTGCTCGGAGCTGGGGCAGGACTTCAGGGCCGCCACTGCCTCTGTGAGGTCGGCCTGGGCCCCTGCGGGGAGGCGGCTCACCTCGGAAGCAGTAGACGTTGAAGCGGCTGTGTTTGTTGGGGAAGCCGGTCTGGTTGGGGAAAAGGAAGAGGGTCTTGACACCAGGCAGGCCCCCACCGCAGCGCTGGCTGGGCGTGACGATGGGGTAGCGCACACTGCCATCGGCCAGCCAGCCTGGGCTGCAGCGGTCCAAGCCACCATCCCAGGCGGCGTACAGCTGGCCCGTGGTGGCGATCTCTGCACCCCGCTCCCGGCAGTATGCCTGAGCCTCTTCCAGCGTCAGCTTGTCTGGGGGGGCACCCAGGAACAGCTCTCCTGGGGGGAGGAGGAGGCTGGGTTACCAGAAAGCTGGTAGCCCTGCCGCCCTGGGTTCCCACGGGGACCCTGGACAAGCTTCTCTAGGCCTCAGTGTCACCTGTGACATGGAGTCAACTGCCCTACTTCATAGGATCAGAGTCTGCATAGAACCTCAGGATGAATACTATTGCTCAGAGGAAACTGGCCCAACTTCTTCACGCTGCAAGGGTGGAAACTGAGGCCCAGAGATGCCAAGAGGCAGAGAGGGCTGCACAGCAGGCAGCAGCAGAATCAACACACAAGCTCAGTCTCCCACCACCTGCCTGAGGCTTTGGTCATGAACTCCACTCGGTGACAGTGTTTAGAGGGAGGGACGCCAATGGTTTCCTTGGCACTGGCTGTCCCCTTAATCACACAGCGGGCAATAAGGCCCAGCAGAGGCCCCGGGAGGACCCATGGGTGGCACCGGAGAAGGGCTCATGCCCCGGGGGGCCCCTCGCCCAGTCACCGTTAAGGTCCTCAGCGTAGCAGTAGACGTCATAGAGGTCATCCGGGTCTACCACTCCATAGTTGCGGACGCCAGGGAAGCCATCCATGTCCCCGTAGCAGGCCTCTCGCGGGGTCTGGATGGGGTACCTGGGGAGGAGCGCAGACGCCCTCACCAGGGAGCCGGCCCACGGAGACGCTCCCAAATCACGTTGCCTTTCCATGTGGCCCGTTGTCCTCGCAGCTCTGCAGGGTCCTCCCCACCCTCCGCAGACCAGCCCCATTCCCCAGGGGGCGCTAGGAGCCTGCGCGCGGCCCCGCCCACCTCACGGTCTGGTCGGACAGCCAGCCCGCGTCGCACTGCTCGTAGCCCCCCAGGTAGGCCGCGTAGAGCTGCTCCGGGGCTGCGATGCGGGCGCCGATGCGGGTGCAGGCCTCCTGGGCGCCCGCGAAGGAGAAGGCATAGCGGGCAGAGCCCTCCCGGTAGAGAAAGACGACCCCTGGGGGACAGGGAGGGGTCCTGAGGTGCGGTCGCGAGGCGCCCTGACCTCCCTCCGCGCGCCGGGTAAGTGCGCGCCCCGCCCGAGGGGCAGGGAGGGGTCCTGAGGTGCGGTCGCGCGGCGCGCTGACCTCCCTCCGCGCCTGGAGCACCGACTGCCCCGCCTCCGGAGCTGACGCGGCGACGCCCTGTCCCCCCCTCTCCAGCTCGGTCGGTGCCTTCCAGGTGCGTGTGCTCTCCCCTCAGACTGCGGGCTCCCTGAGGGCTGGGGTCCTCCCCTCCCCCTCTCTCGGAAACTCTGTCCCTGCCCTCTCACCTTTGACCTTGACCTCCACGGCGTCGCTGCTGTCATCTATGCCGTGCTGGACCTCGCAGCGGTAGATGCCCGAGTCGTTGGGCCGCAGCTCGCTCAGCGCCAGGGACACGTCGGTGAGCGACGCGGGGTAGGCGGGCAGCGCCACGCGGAACCGGTAGGCCTCGCTCACCTTGACGCGCAGCCCGCGCGCCACCAGCACCTCGGCCTCCCGGCCCCCGGACAGGAAGGTCCACTTGACCCGCGGGGAGCCCAGCACCGCCCGGCGGCTCGGCGGCGGCCTCAGGTAGTGGACGTGGCACGGGATGGTGAGGGCGCCGCCCAGCACGCCCTGCAGCGGCGCGGCGCCCGCGATGCGCACGCGGAAGGCCCGGTCCTCTGTGGGCGAGCGCGCGGCTGGAGCTCCCGCCCCGGTTGCCAAGCCCCGCCCCGAGAACCCGGGCCCGGCCCCCAGCGTCCTGCGAGCCCACCTCTGGGCGCCAAGACCGGCCCCCAGGGTCCCAGTACCACCCCAGGGTCCCTGGGCCCCACCCCCTGGGTCCCACAGCCCTGTTCCCTTCGGACTCGCCAGCGGGATTTCTCCCAACTCTACCTCTGTTCTTCCTCCCAGCCCCGCATCCTGTCCCCAGGCCCCACCCCGGAGCCTGGCAGCCCTGCCCCAGGTTTCCGGTCCCAACAGGGGCCCACGACTCACCCCTTGTTTCCAAGTGTCCGAGCCCAGCCCCTTCCCCATGGCCCTCCCAGCTCTATCTCCTCCTCCTGGGGCCCCCCAAGGCTGGAAGAGGTTGTTAGGGCCTAACGAGAGGCCACTCCCTACCACAGGGCAGTGACGCTGAGGGGGTTGCTTACCTGAGCTGTCTCCTTCCAGGGTATCAGCCGAGGCCTCAGGGACTGGGGCTAGGGCCAGGGCTGCCAGCAGAGGCAGGCACAGTGCGGCCATGCTGCAGGTTGAGGGGGGGCTTGAGGAGGAAAGATGGGGTCAGACCTCAGGACAGACCTCCCCCGGCCCCAGCCACATCCACACAGACGCACACGCACCCTGCCGCAGGAGCCTCTACCTCGCCACTAGCTCTGTGTCTGATCCTGTCCCCCAGCCAAGGGACTCTCCTTCAGAGCCAAGACCTGGGTCCCCGTCAGCTCGCTCGTGGCTTGAGGCAAGTCCCTTCCCCTCCCTGGGCCTTTGCTTTCTCGCTCGTAGGGAGCACCGTTACCACCGCCCCCCAGGTTGCAATGGAGCTATGTGCTTGCTTCAGAAGCGCTCTGTGTCCTAAAAAATCCCGGCAAATGCACGGCACCCAGCACACAGTAGGAGCTCAATGAATGCTTACAGCGCACAGCATGAATGGTGGCTGCTATTCGAGTCCCCTCTGCCCCTCCCAGTGCCAGGTCCCTTCTTCGAACCCAGAGCCTCCTCCTCCTACAGTACCGCTCCAACCCCGCACTCGTCTACCCATCTAGCCTCCTCCAGGAGGGCTTCCTGGACTGAACCCAGGCAATTCACAACCGCGGAGCCCAGTCCCTCCTCGACCTCCCTCCCCCCACCGTTACTTATAAGGAATCTCTTCTCTTTACTCCCCAGCACCCTGCGCCCCCCTCTTTGGCTGCCCCCTCCTTTCTTCCTCCAGCCTTTCCTTTCTGCCTGGCACGGACTTTTCCCACCGGATCTCCTGGCTCAGAAATCAGCTGGGACAAAGCCCCTGTCTCCGCCAGTCTGGCCTCTGTCCTGCCTCTTCCTTCCCCCACCCCGGCCCTGGGCGGGAGGTGGGGGAGTGGG